TTGATAAATGTTAAGTGAGTTTTGTTTCTAGAGACATTATACCTTCTCTTTCCTTTCATGCCCATGACCACTCTCCCAGGCCAGGTCCTAAAATCATGTACCTGGGTTATCACAACGGCCTCCTAACTAGTCTCCATGAACTAACTAGTCTTCTAACTACTCTGTAAGTACAAATACACTTCCTTGACTATATAATGAATTTTTGTACATTTTTATTTCTCAAGAAAATTCATCATATAATTGAAAAGTACATTAAATATAGGGCATTTTCTTACTTCCCAAAAGATTACTTTTATACCAAAGATCTATTTTATAATAGAGGAAGTAAGATATTTCTCTACATTGATTTGCTTCAACATACATTGAACTGGCCTTTCTCTGCCCTCTTACAGCCCTATTTTTCTCATACTGCAGGCATCTGAATGAGAAAAATGTACGTTAATCAATCTGGCTAGTTTTAAAGAAGGCCTCAATTATGAAATGATTCATTGTATAAACTTGAACTAAAAGTAGTCACATGCTTAGAGTTAATATTCTTTTCATCAAAAAAGTTTTCATCCACTTACTTTCAGCTTCAATTGGAGTTTTTGCTTATGCACAGCAGATTCTCACCAGCATCTTCAGTGGCTCTCTCTGAGCCCATTTCTGTAGTTCATGAATCACTGCCCATGAAGCATAATGGAGTGCACAGAGGAGAATTCACGCAGTGTGAACCCTCTCTATGTGCTACAGCTCTTTTTCCCCTTCTACCTCTCTGCCTTTTACAATTTATTACCTTTTCTTACTTTGCTGCTCAGAGGAACACAGGTTTTTTTCTGTGAGAGGAGTTCTTTATGATCACTCTAAATTTGGATGTAGTGCACAGCAGCTAGGTCATTGTAATACAGTTTCCAGGATTCATCAGGAGGTCTAAGAGGAGGCAGAGCACTCCAGCACATCCATGCTGATTGCTGGTGGTCTTTTTTCTTTCCTTCTCAACTTTGGCTTTTTCCTTAGTTCTACAGACCTTCTTTGGGGTTCTCATTAGTTGGCCTGAGCTTCCACAAACACTGGTGGTCATGGGATAGCAGTGAAATAAACACACCTCCCTGTGTGTCTAAATGATGGTATACTGCAAGAAAAGTTTCCAAATAAAGTTCACATGAACTTAATATTTGGCAGCCAGCCCTAGCTATACATTAGACTCATCAATTAAATTTGACCCTCTGAAAGTGGAGTACGCACACCTCTGTTTCAGATCTCCCTGGGTAATTTGCTAATGAGTAGTCAGGGCTGAGAAACACTGACTACTACCAGAACTACCAGAACTACTACCAGAAGCTACCAGAACACAGGCCATTCTACTTGTGTAGGAGATTGGTGAGCAAGCCTATTACTGCATTTTTTTTTACCCGAACAAGCCTAACCAGCTAATAATAGACCCAATTTTTATCCGCCTTATGAGCCTCTCGTTTAAATTCTGTTTGCAAGAAAGTTTTACATATGTCACTTGAAAAGCTGAACATGTAGCTGATTTCATAGAAAACAAGGGAAGAATATAGCCAAATAGGGAACAACACTACTGTATCAAGGATTGACAAGGAAAGCATCCTCATTGTGAACCTAAGTGTTTGAGTGAGAAAAGGGGACTCATTCCCATTGAACCCTGCAGGGATGTGATACAACCCATAGTATAAATGAATTCACTGTAAAGTTAAGTGCTTTATGATGGAATTTTACTACATTTCACACATTTCACATTTAGAATATACCCTTTCTATCTGTTTTTTTGTTTTGTTTTGTTTTATTTTGTTTTAGAGATGGGGTCTCACCCTGTCATTCAGGCTGGAGTGCAATGGCACAATCTCGGCTCACTGCAACCTCTGCCTCTCCAGTTCAAGCAATTCTCCTGCCTCAGTCTCCCGAGTAGCTGGGACTACAGGCTCGCGCCACTATGTCCAGCTAAATTTTGTATTTTTAGTAGAGATGTGGTTTCACCATGTTGGCCAGGATGGTATCCATCTCCTGACCTCATGATCTACCCTCCTCAGCCTCTGAAAGTGCTAGGATTACAGGCGTAAGCCATCACACCTGGCCACCCTTTCCATCTTTTATGCCTAAATTTAGACCACTGAAAGAATTCATTAAAATCCAATTTAATTAAGATATTTAAAAAACACACATTGTAAAATATAGTTTTTCAAGGTGTGCTTTTTATAAATATAAGACTATTACACAATACTATAGTTTAAATGAATGAAACATTAATTTGATTTATATCTATTCCTTTTAATTACCATTCACAATATTGAGATAGAAGCAGACAATGGAAGGCACTATCTTAATGAACTGTATTGATTTTTTAAATGTGACCATTGTAAACAAAGCAATTCCAAGCCAGCCCTACAAAATTTCTTATTTTTATTCAAAAATTTTTAAAAAATTGAAATTCACCTGCCATAACTCTCACCAAAGAAAAGAGACACCTCAGTATGGCAAAGAAACAAGGAGCTTTTCATACAACTACAGTTTTATAAGCTTTTAAAATATTTCCTATAACTTTTAGCATAGTATTGATAATTAAGTCACTTGATAAAATAATTTTCCATTTGACATAAGCATTCTAGCATCATAGAGTATACATAAAGTAATACAGAAAATGAATTCTCATTTAATATTAATTTACCTGAGTTTCAGGATGGGGAAGGGTGCCCAGAAATATATGGAAGAATTTTAAAACTTAGAACAATTTAGTAACAGTTGATTAAGCAACCATTACTCACAAATACTGAGCCAGGCTCTTGGAGGAAGAGGGCTCACCTTCTTTTTTTTTTGAGACGGAGTCTCGTTCTGTCGCCCAGGCTGGAGTGCAGTGGCCGGATCTCGGCTCACTGCAAGCTCCGCCTCCCGGGTTCACACCATTCTCCTGCCTCAGCCTCCCGAGTAGCTGGGACTACAAGTGCCCACCACCATGCCCGGCTAATTTTTTGTATTTTTAGTAGAGACCAGATTTCACCATGTTAGCCAGGATGGTCTTGGTCTCCTGACCTCGTGATCCACCGGCCTCGGCCTCTCAAAGTGCTGGGATTACAGGCGTGAGCCACCACGCCCAGCGGAGGGCTCCTCTTCTTAATCCACTAACTGACATCTAATAGAAACTCATAAAGTATTGATGAATTAAAGAATAAATATAAAACAATACTCTGTCCTTTAGAAACTAACATGGCGGGGTGGGGGGCAAAAACATAGATATCTGTAAAATAGGAAAGAATTATGGAGGATTCTTTAATACAGGTGTCAACTAGTAGAGACATAATGAATATAATTACTGCAGCAGTGTGAAACTATTATTCTAGGCGGAAAGGAACCTGGAAACGCTCCTTGTGTTAGATGATATTTGAACTAGGTCTTAAAAAGTATAGCAGAACTTCAGAGTAGACATTGTGAAGTGGGAAAGGACATTCCAGGGGGAAGGAAATGACTTGTATAAGAAATGAAGAAGATTTATTAGAGGAAGTAGAAGGCTTTGGTGGAATGTGTGAAGACATGGCCACTGTCATGGGCCCAAATTGTGAAGGGCTTTCAGGGAGAGGCTAAAATCATTCTCTGTGTAGTGTGGAGTTCTCAAGGCTCTTCAGAACTGCGGCATAGGTCTATTTCAGAAAAGTTATTTCAAAGGCAGTGTTCAGAACAACTTCGAGAAGGTAGAAGCTATAAGTAGAACGTCTGGGAGGTTGTGTAGTGGCACACACAAGAGTTGAGATGAACCTAAACCAAGGAAAAGAACGGATGAGCTCAATTTGGAGCATATCTTAGTGTCAAAACAACAGATTCTGAAGATTGGTTGTATGTAAGGGAGTAGGGAGAGGGAAAAATTTCATTTTAGAGCAACTAGGAATAAGTCTATTTTATAAAATACATAGTTTTAGAATGTTTAAAAGCAAAATGATGCTGGAGGGTTCTGGTGCAAATTTTGAAGAGAAATATTTTCCAAATAGCTATATTGCTTAACACTTGGGAAAAGATTGACAAAATAAAGAACTAAGTGTGAAAGTATTGGGAGAAGAAGGCAAGTTAAAAAGCTGAAAGCCTCAGGAAGGCTTTCAGGAAGGTACAAAAATGGCAAGTGCTAAGGGAAAACACGGTATTAAAATGTGAGTGGTATCTTAGAGATCTGAGTCAGGAATTGTAAGAAAGTGGTTAGCAGAAGTTAGAATGAATGCATGTGAGAAAGCATAGACTAGGTAAGTTACCCCCTTACAAGTAAATGGAAAAGTGAAAGAGTAAAGCAAAGCAAGAAATGTGGCCATCGTGAAGAACTGACCTAAAACAGTAACAGTGATTCAAAAGGATAGGGAGGATAAATACTGAGTGTGAAGCGGCTGAATAGCATGTAACGTGGTAATGATGAGTTGTCAACTTGTCACTCTATTATTAAAATAAAATTCTATCAACAGAAACATTGTAAATAATAGATAAATATGAGGTAGAATTGTTTGCTCTAAGATATAAAACAAGAACAGGTTTTTTCCCTTAATAAAAATTATGGTTTATCTGATATACCATGCTCCATCAGCTTTGCTATCACTGATCTGTTGATCATACTCAAGTCAGCACTAGAAACTCTTCAACTTCCAGGCTGCATTGCCAGAAGGCTGCAGTGCCAGGCTTTGGGGATTAGAAAGCAGGCTTGAACTGGAATGAAAGGAACATGCACTGATGAGGAAACCTGAACTGCCCTTGAGCTTCTCCTGGAACCCACTCATTCTAGACCGAATCTCAGTTTTAAATCATGTAGAGCTCCATTTAAAACAGCAACAGTGACAGCAGGCAACCACTTAGAATTCAGTGCATTCAGTGGGTTTTCAATAGTTTAGGAAGTTTCTATCTAGTGATTGATTCCTGTCAAGAACTTGGCCGTTTTCATAAACAATTGTACGAAAAATAAAATGTCACCTCTGCTTCTGCCACTTAGAGACAGCTAATTACATCATCTGCGATTCAGATATGATCACACTTACCAGAATAATCGCGGGGACAGATACAAGTATATCTTCCAATTTCATTAAGACACGTAGCCTCGTTCTTGCAGGGATCTGAAGCACATTCATCCACTTCCAAGTCGCAGTGTCTGCCTTGATATCCTGGGACACAGAAGCAGGAGTAGCCATCAATTCCATCCTGGCACACGGCCCCATTTTGGCAAGGGCTGGAAGCACACTCATCGTGATCTATCTCACAGAATCTTCCAGCATATCCAGCAGGGCAGATGCAGACAGGATAAATAGGGTCCTGATGGCAAATACCTCCATGTTGGCAGGAGTTCTTGCCACAGGAACCAATGGTAGTTTCACAGATTGTCCCACTGTACCCAGGAGGACATTTGCACAGAAAGCTCCTTTCTCCTGGGGTGTTCACACAAGTGGCACTTCCTTGACAGGGATTGGAGAAGCAAGGGTCTTTCATGTTGTCACAGTCTTTGTCCACATTATTGGCTGTGCCTGAACAAGAACAATCATTGTCTTTTGAAAAACCTTTGCATGTAGAATTGTTTTGGCAAGAATTTGAGAGGCACCTGGTGTTGTTTTTATTGCAAAAGGAATCTGCAAGGAAATAAAAAATAACAATATTAAACTTATAAATAATTGAGGACAAAGTTAAAAATCTTTCTTTGTGACCTTTGTGCTGCCTCAACTAAACTCATTAATAAAATACATAGTTGGCTGCATTCTAATGAAAAAACTATGTCATATTCATTATTATACCTAGCACATTGTATGTACTTCCAGTGAGCAATGCAATAATTTTCATAGTGATAATACCTTCAGAGCAAGACTTAAATGGACACAGAAAAAAAGTTTTAGGATTATTTTAAATTATAATTGAAATTTAGTTCCCAGAGAAATTACCATAGAGAATTTTGTTTCCTGCTTTAACAGAAGACTTATATACAGGATAGTAAATTTTACTGGATGTAGAGTTTAATTGCTATTTTCAGACCAAATTATATAGGCTGCAAAATTGTTTCCTTGCAGTAAAGTTTGCCATCTACTGGCTATTACAAGAAATTCTACCACAGTGAGTTTCAGACTTTTTGTTTTCCCTCTTTTCCTTTCTTTTTTCTTTTTAAGAGCAACAGAACTCCTTCAAGGAAAATGTCATGAGGAAAATGTCAAATGTACACAATTGGAAAGTAGATCTGCTCAGAAGAAGCAGGGGAAGGTCCCTTGCAGCCTAGTCAGACCAGTCTGCTGCCTCCCCTAGAGACACCTCCAAGGAGCTGGGGTTTGAGACCAGCAATTTGAAAACCTCTGCACAAGAGAAAAGAAAATATTTTATACAGTTACTATAAGCAATTATTTCTATATTTGTATTAAGTATTTCTAGTGCTAAAATAAAGTTTTTTTTGTCTGCTGAGAAGTAAAAAGAAGTTTGGCCAGTTTTAAAGAAGATGAAGACCCAAATAATAGTAAATATATTTCTTGTGTGTGTGTGTGCGTATGCATCTGTGTGTATGTATTTTCTAATAATTAAATTGACTTGGAAAACAGCCACATTGGTAATTTAGTTTCATTATGAGGCTGAGTATGTTTATTTAGAACAATGAAACAGTGCAAGGTGAAAGACTTTCAGGGAAGAGCGGGTTAATTTCTCTATTTTAAGTAATATTTATTCCTTTGTCCTTGATGGTTCTACTGCACTTTTCTATGAAACAGGTAATTCTCTAATTTAAAATCATCAATCAAGGATCTGAAAGTTGTATTCAGTGGATTTTATTATCAATCTTTTCATTGACTTTTCTATTTAGCAATCATAGGAGATTTATCAGTGAGTCAGGATAGTGCAGTGGAAAGGGGCAACAGATGGGTACCAGGCCTGCTCTGCCTCTCCCAGCCTCGGTTTCTCTTTTTTTTTTTTTTGTAAGAATTAAGTCACTAAATTTAAATGCTTTGCAGACACATCGTGTTTGATAAATGCTAGCTCTTACTTTTATAAGATGTTGAGAAATAGTTTTGAGTTCTTGATAGAAAATTTACTGAACAAGTGCAAAACATAGCAATAAAAATAATTAAAAAGGTACAAGTCACTATTTTCACTGAAGGAATTTTATTTTAAGAAAGAAAATTAAACAAAACAAACAAACAAAAAACACGAGTACCCTTACATAGAAAGCCTACCAATGGACTAATTCAAGATGCCACCTATGTCCTTCCTGTAAATTACCTGGGAATGGTCAGGATCAGACAAAGATAATCATGAAATTGAGTTAAAAAGGTTCTTTTCCCCAACTCCCTTGTTTTTTGCAAGAAAATCTTTAACATCTGATTATACATTTTTAAATTATTTATTATTATTATTATTTTGAGACAGAGTCTTGCTCTGTCGCCCAGCCTGGAGTACAGCGGCATGATCTCAGCTCACTGCAACCAATATCTCCCAGGCTCAAGTGATTCTCCTGCCTCAGCCTCCAAAGTAGCTGGAATGACAGGAGCCCACCACCAGGCCTGGTTAATTTTCCGTATTTTAGTAGAGATGGGAGTTTCACCATGTTGCCCCCAGGGTGGTCTCGAACTCCTGAGCTCAGGCAATCTGCCCGCCTCAGCCACCCAGGCCTCCCAAAGTGCTAGGATTACAGGCTTGAGCCACAGTCCCTGGCCTCTATAAATTTCGAGTACCATTTAAATGGTTGGCTCAGCAAAATGCTAGCTATGAAGTTAGAGTTGTGATTACGACTTAGTTGTTCAGCGGACCTGCTGTATCTTTGCATTGTGCTCCATATCTATTTATTTATAACAAGTGCTCAGTATACATTTCTTGAGTATTAACTGTCAAAGCCATTGTTCTTACCTTAATGGTTTCTTTATGTAAAACTTTACATATCTATATGCGCACATATATATATTTAAATGTGTGATTATTGATCCTTGATCTTTTTCAAAATTCTATTTAAATATCCTCTTATCATCAGTATGCTCAGTCTTTTCTTAAGATTTATTAACTTATTTCTCTTCCTAGCTCTCTAATTATATCTGTCTCTAGATCTCATTTTAACGATATTAACATCAAGAGTTAAATGTATCCTTTGTCAGCAGAAGGAATGGAAGGAGGTGTAGATAGAACTCCTATTATTGCTCATATCTGGGTTAAAATAGCAATTTTTAATATGCCTCATATTTAGCTAGATAAACACTCCTCAACGTATCCTCGCTAATATATATAAAGTTATCCAGGAATTTGTTCATTGTTTTGGAACATGTATATTTTCTGGTGTTTTTTTTCCTCAAACTGTTGAGACAGACAGGGACTTGTGGAAGTTGCTGCTAGGGACAGGAAGAGAATATGTCACCTGTGGTATGGAGTAATGTTTTTTTCACTATACATGGTTGGCATTACTTGAAAAAAATCGAGTAATTTTCTAAGCATGCAAAGGCACAGTTTTTACATTTTAATTCTATAGTTATCTATATTTAGCCTATGTTTACCTAAATAATCAGAGCAGAATAGAGGAACTGTGAACATAAAATCTGATATTTCCAAAAAACCGAATGAATAGTGTCTTATATTGTTTCACCTAGAAGACTGATGATTTAATAAATATTTGCTATGCTTTGCTAATGAAATGTAATCAGAATGAAATGGGAGGTATAAACAATGCTACTGGAGACAGAACTGTCAAAATTTCCAGGTCTAAGAATGATAATTTATGAGAATAAAGTGGTTTGCTGAATTCTCTTTAGCCTGGCTTTCTGCAGAGAATGAAATTTAGTTTCAGGATTGGGGTGTGCAGGGAGGCAGTGCAGGAGGGGCATGTCTTTAATCAGCACATAGCCAGAATGGCTTGCACATGGTAAGACAGTCAATAGAAATTTGTTGAATAATGAATGAGTGAGCAAGGAAACCTGAATTCTCATTTAAGCCTTGCTGTGAAATTCTTACTTTGACCTCTTTTGATAAAATCAAGCAGAACAAATCATCAGTTAAATCACTTACTTTGATGTACAGTGTGATAGAATCCACATGGAGCAGTTAAAATAAGAAGTAGATGGGCTCCTTTAAGACCATTTTTCCTTTGTTTTCCTACAGTATATGTGGTCTTAAATACTAAATTGAGGCCAATTTAATATAGTCAGAAGAGGATATTTTTATGGTAGACAGAGATTTAAATTTTGATTCTAGTATTTACCACCTCTGTGACTTTAAGAAAAAACATTGTCACTGAGCCTCAGTGTCCTGATTACTAAAGAAAATGATGTGGAGCCATATATATAGTGGATAAGCACATGAAGTTTGGTGCCTGGGTTTAAATCCTGGCTCTGCCACGTACTAAGTCTATGAGTTTTATCAAGATAATATCCCTGTGCCTCAGATTCCATTTTTGTAAAAATGGCACCTATCTCATAGAGTTGTTATAAAGGGTTAAATTAATGAACACAAAATGCCTAACAGGGCTTGGCACAGAGTCAGCATCATCAATCATCATTGTTGTTTTCATTACTATTAGGAATAAAAGAGATAACATACATAAAGTTCCTTATAAGAATCAAGCATAAAGTAGTTTTTTAAAAACCATTATTTGCTTTTTCTTTCAATGCAGGGTCCAAAGTACATCTATCTTGTTACTTGTCTATTGACTAGTAGAGTACCATGTACATAGTTGGTGCTTAGTAAATGCATATTAACGAATGAATAAATTCAAGAAAATGAAACTATATCATATTGGAAAAAGAGTTTTGGGAGTTCTAAGTTTATTACCAGCACACGTTCTCTGAGAATCATACCTAATAATCTGGGCAGGTTTCCATCATCATCAACCACAATTAATACTCATGCAAACTCCTTGAAACACGACTTTCTTACTCCAGGCGAGGAGATTGGTTTTGGCCAAAATTCATTGGCATCACCTGTATCTCAATATCCCTATTCTACTATTAGCTCCTCTTTAGAAGGCCAGTGGCATCAGTGAGAAAGTTTTCCATTAACATATTTTAAATCCCCTGTATCTGATAGGCACATTGCTATTTGCTTTTATATATAATTTCTGATCATTAGCATCATCACAGATGAAATCCAGTCCTGCCGGTTCAAAAGTTTCTTTTTCTTTCAAAGCATCCCCATGAGAATCAGAGCTTCTGGGTCCTCCTTTACACAGCCTACACACCTAAGCACAGGGTCTGGCTTGGATCAGGTCTTGGGCATTAGGGTTAGGTAGGGTAAGGGACCAAATGCACGTGCCTCAGGCTGCAATCATACACATCACATTTACCTCATAGAAGATGCCCTGCCCTTTGTCATCCTTAGAACATGACTAAATGATGTAAGTTGTGAAGGTCATTTTTACTAACTGTCAATCATGAAAAATTTTAATGAGAATCTAATTATATTCCTTTGATGTTACATTTATTTAAAGCTAATCAGGCCTGAAATCACTGACCTTATTATAATCTATGTATATTTTAATAATGACAGGCTTTTGAATGACCCCTTTTACTATGGAATAGACTTATATTTTACTAGTTTCTTTGCCTGTAGCAAATTGAAATTCTCACAGTAAAGCTAAAAATGTTCTGAACAAAGAGGAAAAAGTTTTTTCCCGCTCCATGAA